AACCCCCTTCCCCTCCCCCTTTTCTGATGAAGGGTCTAGGCCCGAAACGTCAGCCTCTCTGCTCCTATGATGCTGCTTGGCCTGCTGTGTTCATCCAGCCCTGCACCTTGTTGTCTCAGCATTATAGATGTCTACTTTCTAATCTATTCCCCCTGTTGCTGGTAGTCTCTCTTTATTCATGTTCTTAGTCCTTAAAAATACAATTCCCTTCACCCGTGTACCATAATATTATTCACATTTGGTCACCCACCATCATACACTGTTGTGCATTTTGATGTCAAATTTTGTTTTATGTGCTGTGGGATTTAAGGCTGTGTTGAAGGCACTACATAAACTCATAGTGTTGTAGTGGGTTAAGAGGGCGTTTCTTATTGTTTGAAAGACAGTGGCTGCCGCAGACAAACCTTGGGGTGAATCCATGAACAGCCCAAGAAAGGATGGTGGGCTTTCAGGTGCATCTTAAAGGACAGGTGAGGGGTGAAGGGGGTTCAGGAGGGAGTGAGAGAGGCAGCTGCAGGCATAACCTCCCTCGATGGAGCAATGGAAATTGGGGTGAGCAACAGGCCATGGATTGGTGGAGTAAGGGGAGCTCAAGGAGTTTGGGACAGGGAGAGCCAAAAGCACAGATTGAGCATGAGAAGAATATAAAACACTACAAACCATTGCTGTCCTTGATATCCACCATGGCCTGGGCTTCCAGCAGCAATGAAATGAGCTCTGTGCTCCCACTGAGGGCAGCATGGTGCAAAGCTGAGAACCTGCAGACAGAACAGACACACTTCAACAACAAAGTCACAAACTGTTGGCCTGAGATCCTTGTACATCACATTGTCCTTCATCCAGTGAAGCAGGTCCATGGTTTTAGAACCTCCAGGCGAGATGTTAGTGAACAAACAATCATGAAGTGCCATTCTTTGTGATTTAAACCAATTCCAAATTCAGCACGTCGATATAGTCCCACTAAAATAATGGGGCAAACAAATTTTGCAACATTTCACCGACCTTAGTTTACCCTGAATGCAAGATTCTAAAGCCCCCCCCCCCCCCCCCCCACCCCCCGATTGCAGGATCTAGTCATTCTTTTGCAAAACGCTCCACGGTTTTCACCTGCACATCTAAGCTCCAGGCTTTACTCTGCAGGTTCAGGATGGGCCATAATTATTGTCCTAGCCAGCAATACCTACATCCCATGAATAAATGAAAAAGAAATCACTCTTTGTGCGAAGGGGAATTTCTTGATGTCGGTCTGAAATTTAGCTTTTCCCTTTGTGTGAATCTGTTTTATTCTCATGGTTCAATTTCAAGTTAATTCCCAGATTTGCCTCTTCGACTTTATTTCTAACCCTGGGCAGTACTGTATGATCACCTCACCAACATGCCCAGAGTGAAAGAGCCAAGTTATTCCAGTCCCTTACTCATTGCCCTGTATATCAACACTAGGGACCAGTGGGTCTTTTGTCTTTTGTTAATAGCCTGTTAAATCTCTCCCTCATACCTCAGCGACAGAACTAAAGGCAGTTCACTGAGCACAGAATTGTACAGTTTAGACCCACTTTTCTCTGATTTATTATTGCCTTGACCAATTGCTGTTCCACTAGAGTCGCCAACTGTGATTAACTCAAATCCTGGAGGTTTCATTGCACGACCTATCGCCACGTTCCAGCCCTTCCCCAGCTGTCACATCCATCCTTGCAGCTCACCACCTCCCAATACCATACGGAAAGCCTCATTATCCAATTCCTATTTTCAATATGAAATACAGGAAGAGCTGGAGAAACTCAGCAAGTCTGGCAGCATCTGTGGAGACAGAAACAGAGTTAACATTTCGAGTCGTGTATGACTCTTCAGAATTGAAGGGAAGGTCATACTGGACTCGAAACTGCCAGGCCTGCTGAGTTTCTCCAGCACTTATTTCAGATTTACACTGTATGCAGCATTTTGCTTTTAACTTACTCCCAATATTTTTAGATCAGGTAAAGGAAACTATTCAGAGAGCGAAAGGTCCCTCACAGGTGTAGAAGATCCTGCAGGTTTTCTTAGAGCAAGAGGCATTTCTTGCTATAATTTGGCCAGCATCTCTCCCTCAATCACTGCAGCCGATCCTAAAAGGGACACTCAAGACATTTACTGGAATAACAGGAACCATGTTTCCAAATGTTGAGGTTGTCATGATGCGATGAATGCTCTGACTGGCCTGAATCCCCTACACCCTCACCTGTCCTATCAGATGCTCCTGAAAGCTCACCATCCATTCCCCGTGGTGTTCGTGGGTTCACCCCAATGTCCGAATGTAGCAGTCACTGTCTAGCTGACATTCCAGGATCTGGCGAAAGGGTATTTCCTGGTGCCACTTGGGAAGTGGGCAACCCAGTCAAACCAACATAAAGGAGCAGAACACATCCCTGTCTCGCCTGCAGAAGCTCAGAACAAAGGCGGACAAGCAACCGAAACTTAATGGGCAGAAATCAACCCCCGTCCCTGGATGTGGCTAGGAGAAGTAATGGAGTGAGCCTTCCCTGAAGTGAAACTCTTGCCATCTCTGCAGTTAAATGCTGGGTGAGAAATCTGTTGGGGTCTTTCTTGACTCACCAGCAATAAAGTCCCTCAGAAGGTCAATCAATGACCACTTAAGTGCCACTGTAGGGCCTAACTTCATCACCTTTCTGATCATCCCCTTTCCTGGTAGCAAAGGTGGCTGGTCTCTTATGAGAGCCCTACCCCTAACAAAGCTCTCTCCACAACACCCCCAACCTGCAAATAAAATTCACCTGGTCATCACTCGACTACCTCCAGAGGACACCTCAACCAGTGGTCCTTAGGACCCAAAAGCTGCCGGCTTTTGGTTAAACAACAGCTTTTGCCAACACGTCAGTATCAGGGCACCTGATAGGGTGAGAAACCTACCCATGGGCTGCTTAGGCTGGTGATTGGGTGGGCTATCTTGTTGATGGGGAGGGGGCATGCTCATTGCCATCTAACACGCTCTTCCCCACGCCTGGTCAAACAATGGGAGAATCCCAGCCAATATGCTTGAAGTGTCTCTAAGGGAATCATCATTCACCCCTTACAAATGACCAATGAGCTGACCAGGGACAGAAGCTTAACCTCATCAGACCCGGGGAGGCACTAACAGCCCCATTTATCTCCTGAAATGAGTACAGGACCCCTGGCAAGAGACACAGAAACTAATCATTGAATTGAAACTGACAACTTAACGGACAAGGCACATGATGGGGAACAAACCCTAGGCCTGGCGAGGTTAACTGTAAGTTCTGGACACCATTCCTTCAGTCTGGTAAGGATCTAGTTAATGTTCACACCAATTTGCTATGAAAGTATGGCCTGCTCACATCATAACCAGACTCCAGGCTGACCTTCAAAGTCTTAACCTCTTTGGAACTCAGTTCAAGAACAAACCTTGCGTCTGCTGGAAATATGGACACTAACCACATGTTGTTTTTGACAATTACGAAATGAATTATTCCCCAAAATCCTGCCATCAGTCAACAAATCCCACATTGCTGCAGAGAGGAACTTGCACTGGATAGGGCCATCCTGCACTCAGACAAAAGTCACATGAATTAAAGTTGACATAATTGACTTTTTTTTTTAAAAAACAGTTATTCAAAAATGGTAATCTCTTCCATTCCTTTATTTTTGCATTATTTTTATTTCTTCCTTGTATGCTTGTGGGTATGTACATGTTGCAACAAACATCCCCCAAGTTTGAATGTATGAATAAATGATACTCCTGCATTAACCCAATTGTGTTTGCTCCAGGTCATTTTAAAATGGGAACAGGACACAGCCTACTTGAAAAGGGATAAGAAATCAGAACAAAAAAGGAACATCTCCGCTTATGGACTGAAGAGGAGAAAGATAAAAGTATTTAATCTTCTTTCTCTATTTGCCCCAACTCTTCTGTAACAATGGTACCTGTACATATCAACGTTAGGTTCTGTTACATTATTGAGAGGCCCATTGAAAGGATATGTCCCAGGCCACAAGAAAGCACCGCACAGGAAGAGGCACAGTGGATGGCAGCACGGGTGGCACAGTGGTTAGCACTGCTACCTCACAGCGCCAGGGACCTGAGTTCGGTTCCACCCTTGGGCGACTGTCTGTGTGGAGTTTGCACATTCTCCCCGTGTCTGCGTGGGTTTCCTCCGGATGCTCCAGTTTCCTCCCATAGTCCAAAATGTGCAGGTTAGGGTGGATTGGCCATGGGAAATTACCCATAGTGTTCAGGGACGTGCAGGCTAAGTGCGTTAGCCATGGGAAATGTGGAGTTACAGGCAAAGGTAGGTGGTGGGCTGGGTAGGATGCTCTTCAGAGGATCAGAGTGGAATTGATGGGCTGAATGTCCTCTTCCCACACTAGAGGGATTCTAAAACAGTGTGGATATTTATGACCTTTGCTACCAGTGTCCAGGTAAACACTATATTGTCTTCTCCACAACACCAAAATGAGAAATACCACAAATCAGGGGAGAGATGAGGTAACTCAGGGAGTGAGGGAAACATGGTTAAGTCATCTGGTTCTATACACCTGAATTGTCAGGGGAAGGGAAGGGATGATGAAAGAGATCATGACTTTTACTGATCCTTAAATAAGAATCTCAGAATTAGCTTTATTGTCAAATTAGGACAGGGAAAAGTTTACAAGTTACCACTTAACGGCACCATCTTAGGTACAAAGTTACCTAGGTACAGAGATTCTTAAATACAAAGGGTAAAAAACATTGAAAAGAAAAGAACTAAAAAAAATCTAGAATTACTGATCGTAAGAATAAATTAGAATAATAGAGAAATAAAAAGTTCAAAATAACAGCCCTTCCAACCCAGTCCACCCTAATGCAAGGCCTGTCAGTCAGCACCAGGCCTTCACTCCAGGCTGCACAGGGCTTCACCTCAAGGTTGGGAGACCACTTTGGAATCATCTCGAGACCAGAGGTCCATGGTGAGACCAGGCTGGGCCAGGAGATAGGCGTAGTGCAGCAACTCTCAATTTCAACAGCCCGATAACATACCAAGAAACAAGGGATATGTGAAACTCAAAGTTCTCTCTGTGCAGGGAGATGCACTGACCATACTTGAAACTTACATTTGGAAAGGGCCCTTCACAATCGCAGGATATCCTGGGTGCAATGAAGTCTCTTTGAAAAATTGTCACTGTTTTAAACATGAAATGGGGTACTCCATTATTAAAAGCAATCTCTCGTGAACAACGATATTAATCAGAACAGGGAGTTGGAGGGTCTGGGGAAGGTGTTGGGCAGTCCGTTCGCCAAAAGCAGTCTACAATCAGGAGACCTGTCCAGATAAATACTTCCCTGAAAGGACAGATCCACTTCACCCATCAGTTTCACACAATGGTGCCCCTGGCCCAGCTCATTCCACCCTGGCAGACTCTGAGCTGGGTTTGATGTTCATATATTGGCCGTGTGATGACAAACTAATCGGCAGGTTTCCAGCAGCCGGCCAACGGCAAGCGAGCCCTCCCAGGATCCAACTTCTCAACGGCAGGCACTCACTCAACACCTGGGAGAAGTCACGGGCTCAATTAGCCTGCATTGTCACTGACATCCTTTCTCTTTACTCAGACATCTGATTGATATCAACCTGACACCAGAAAACTCCCTTTGAAATGACTGAACTCTTTAAAACATTTCAGCTTAAAGCAAGAGCTGTGAAGCTTGTTATGGAAAATTGCCAACCAACTGGAACTTCTTTTTAAATGTGCGGTATTGAGACCATCA